ATGGCGAATCGTCATCTAAACTCACTCTTGATGAGATTTACTGCGAAGAATTCTTCGAACGTACAACTCGCCGGACCGGATCCGGTCGCTATATATTACGCTACCCATTTAAACCATCAGCTGACTTGTCTGTGCTTGCAGATACTAAATATGATGCTGAAAAGCTTTATCATTATCAAAACAAACGCCTGAACAATGATATTTATTTTAAAACACTCTATGATGAGTTTATGTCCGAATATCTCCAACTCGGTCACATGCAACCTGTTTGCGAGGACTTTGAGCCGCAGCCTGTCTGCTATATTCCCCACCACGGTGTTTATAAAGGCTCAAGCTCAACTACAAAACTACGAACCGTTTTTAACGCATCACGTAAAACGAAATGTGGTAGGTCACTAAACGACTGCTTGCTTGTTGGACCAAAGCTCCAAAACGATTTATCCGCAATTATATTGAAGTGGCGATGGCACAAGATCGCATTTACGGCCGACATCGAAAAATGTTTCCGACAAATCTTGGTTGACCATAAGGACGCAGATATGCAACGAATCTTTTGGAAATATGAGNTATCCGCAATTATATTGAAGTGGCGATGGCACAAGATCGCATTTATGGCCGACATCGAAAAATGTTTCCGACAAATCTTGGTTGACCATAAGGACGCAGATATGCAACGAATCTTTTGGAAAGATGAACATGGCCAGCCTTGCCTATATCGCTTACTTACAGTAACTTACGGACTCAACTGTTCGCCTTACTTAACCATTAAAGTTCTCCATACTTTGGCGAAAGATGAGGGTACAGAATTTCCAGAAGCAGCAGATGTTTTAAAGGAATGTTTTTACGTAGATGACTGTTTAAGCGGCGCTAGCTGTGTTGATAAGGCTGTTGACTTACAACAGCAATTACAGACTTTACTACAGCGCGGCGGATTTACACTGCGAAAATGGAGTTCCAATTCCGGAAATTTTCTTCAAAAAATTCAAGGAACAAATGCCAATAAAATATGTGCGCTTAATTCGGACCAAGACACTAAAGCACTGGGAATTTATTGGTCATGCCAGGATGACTATATTGGGTACAAGGTAAAAGTGAGCGTAGTTTCCGTAGCAATCACTAAAAGACAGCAGCTTTCCGACGTTGCAAAAATTTATGATCCTGCTTGCTTGCTGGCTCCTATCATCATCACTGGCAAGCGTATGTGCCAAGATCTTTGGCGTACCGGATGTACGTGGGATGACCCGATTCCCGAACCTTACCAGAGTGAATGGATAAAATTCCGTGATGAGATGCCACTGATAGAAAACGTAGAAATTCCGAGGTGGCTTTTCACAGCGGACGACGTAGAAGAAGCTCAGCTGCACGTATTCTGTGACGCGTCATCANCCGTGATGAGATGCCACTGATAGAAAACGTAGAAATTCCGAGGTGGCTTTCTATTATCATGGCGAAGACCAAGGTGGCACCGTGGCNGGAACTAAATGGAGCAGTGCTTGCGAGTACTTTAACCTGCAAAATTCTTGAAACTCTGCAGCTTAAATCTACTCACACATGGTACTGGTGTGATTCGAAGACAGTGATCAGCTGGATTCGGTCCAATCCTGGACAGCATAAGCAGTATGTTGCCAACCGGATAGCAAAGATTCAGGAGATGACAAATGTAGACGCGTGGCGGTACGTGCCCACTAAATGCAATCCGGCTGATGTCGCGTCTCGTGGCATTTACCCTTCGCAACTTGAAGACCTTAGCATATGGTGAGCATGGCTACAAAAGGACGAAAGCTATTGGCCAGCAAGCATCGTGATTGA